TATTTATCGCGATGTGAAAACGAGTTCCCTCAGTCAAGTTTTAAACCTATAGCATAAAAGTAATTTAACGAGCACAAATAGAACTCCGCATCAACTCTGCATAGTTGTACTTCATAATGGAGAAAGTCCCACATATACATATGCCGAAAGTGATCTTTGTCATATGCCGAAAGTGATCTTTTAACACTAAGCTCAAAGAAATTAGTTTATTGGGAAGAAAAAAAAAAGAGTAATTACTTGTTTTGACCTTCTTTTTTAAAAAACAAGCAATAATTAATTCAAGAAAGTTGCTCTTTTCTACTTTTACTTAGTTTTGCATATATATATATATATATATATATATAATTGTACACAAAAATTCTCCTATGCGAACGTTTGGACATTTGGACGTTATTATCATGCAGACGCCATGTATTTTCCATTATCTCTCCCTACTTTCCTTGCAGCCTTTAAGTGCACTCAACAATACTATTGTCATTAGCATCACTTCAATACATATAGAGATATTTGTTCAAAAATCCATTACAAGCCAAGTTGATGCACAGCCGTTGAATTTTTCCTTGTATATGCAACATGCTGCTTGATCATTCTTCTGAGATGCCACTGGCCACAGATATATAGTTTTGTTCTTACCCCAAATGTCACTTGAGAAGCAGAGCTTCTCTTATTTCTGTTTTCTTTCAATTTTGGCATAATAGTTTCCTTGCATTGTTGACATAATATTTATATTTTACTTGAATTGCAATTCTCAATTCTCAATTCTGTTTTCTTCACTCTGGTTCTTTGAGAAATTGGATTTCTTGCAGTTTGGTGGAGTGCTCAGATATTTGCAATTTGATTAAGGATGGTGAGGATGGGCCTTGATTGATATTTTTTTTTTAAAAGATCTTTTTGTAACCAGAAATTGTATAGCCTTCAGTTTGATTTCTTATAAGGTTTTTTTTTTTTTTTTTTTTTTTTTTTTTTTTTGTGTTTATGAGTTTTACTTTAAATCAAATATTGTAAATTTAACTGCATGTGTAGGTAGTGGAAAGTGTACATTGCTATATATTTTGAGTTTTTAAATGGAAGCATAAATTTTATAAAATAAAATAAAAAAAGCATCGACCAAAATAAAAAAACAAAAGGGTTCAGTTTATTTATGCAGCACAGGGAGACTTGAATTTTGTACCGAGAGAGGCGGAATTGAAATAATATAATTGAACATGGATTAAAGCCTTGATGTAGAAAACATAGATGAAATGGGAGAGGCATAGGAGACCTTTCCAATTCCAGTACTTCAATGCCCTTCTCCTTCATTTCTTTCGCCGTTCCTATCATCTTTTCCCCCTCCATTGTCATCAACTTCCTTTTCCGCCTCATCCACCATCTGTCATCATTTAAATGAAATTACTCTTTAAACATGAGGAGCTGATTTTCTCACTCCTCTTTTGTCCACTTACACTCCCTTTTATGTTATAATAAAAAGTATTAAAAATAAAAGGGAGTGTAAGTGGACAAAAGAGGAGTAGAAAAATCAACACCCTATATATAGGAATGTACTACTAGTATAATTCAATTTTATCATGTATGAATGGTTTAAGTAGTCATATATTCAAATAATCACAATATCATGAGTTGATATAAAACTATTTCTACCATTTCAACTAACCGTCTTCTATACTTTTAACGGAGGTGACACTCAAAATCATCGACTAAGATGGTACAAATGCCAGTGTATTCATCTAAACTTACTTAAGACTTTTTCTCCTTTTCTTTTTGCTTGTTCTGTTTTCTTTTTCTTGGATTTGTTGAGAGGTTATGAGCTTTGCTGGTGATTGTAATTAGAACAAAATGTAACTTAAAATAAATGAAGGGGTTGTGTTTTGAAATCAAGACAATAAATTATAATACACCCTTTGAACCCCTTCATTTTTTTATACCTATTTATTCTTTTAAAATGAAGGGGTTGTGTTTTGAATTATTTTTATTGTTATTTTGGTCAAGAGCCTAAAGAGTTTATATGTGGGTGACTTTTTTCCCATCACACACGTAGCTTGGTTTATAATTTTTCAAAAACAATTTCCTATCACGCACGTAGCGCAACTCAAAATTTAACAAACAAATCCTAAATTATAAAATCTTAACAATAACAATTAAAATTGATAATTAAATAAAAATAAAGAGACAAACTTACTAAGATTGAAGAACCACTAAAAATATGTTGATACAATTTTGGAGAGGAAGAGAGACTTCTTTTTTGGTTCTCTCGTGCTTTTAGGCTTTTAGGCTTCTTTTTTTTTTTCCGTTTGGCTTGGCTTATTGGAGGCTTATGTTCTATTATTTTCGTTTGGTTTTTTGGGCTTAGTGGATTCCTTATCCACTCCTTGTGTGTGGTGTTAAAGATGAATGATAGGCTAACTTATACAGTGGGGTAGGCTGACTTGGTAAAGGCTTTTAGGCTTCTTTTTTTCCTCGTTCGGCTTGGCTTGCTTCCTAGTTGAAGGCTTGTTTTTTTTGGGTCAGATGGTTGTAGGCTTAACATCTGGTATAATGTTGGTTATATCACTAGTTAGTTATGGGGTTTCTTTTTTTGAATTACAAGCGATAATTTAAATTATTTTAAGTTAATTTAGTTTACGCAGAGAGGGACTCGAACTTGGGTGCAAGAGAGTGAACTCATTGCCCTGACTAACTGCCCTATTCTACATTTTCTTATTGGGGGGTTTAAATTGCTCACAATGTTAATTATCCCATTATGTGAACCAATTTGTTTCACAAATGTCCTTTTTTTAAGCAAAAATTAGTACCTTTTATGGTTGGTTGTAGAACTGTGGAAAAATGGGCATTGTTTGTTGACGGACGCACCAAGGTTAACTAGTGGAGTGGAAATTCATGAAAATGGAGAGTGCTTGCTACACACTCTCTAAGGATGTATTGATGAACCAATTCAATTTCTTACTTTCTTTGGATATGGAAAGAAGCTTCTCCTTTCCGTACTGCTAAAAGCTTGAGGTTTGCATGTTCGGGCAATTTTGGATTTAAGTCTGGTGAGAGAATATTATTCTGTGTATTTATAAATTAGCGTCCAATAATGTCTACAAAATAACATACTAAAAGTCTACTTTTCTTTATTCAAAGAGTTATTCCAGTCAGCAAGTAACACACGTCAAGGCCTTGTGATTGTCGTCAATTCATTGCATCTTTTTCTACTAAATCCTTAATCCTTTGTCATTGGCAAAGTCAGATGAATAGAGATGAACAATGGCAAAGTGAGATGAATAGAGATGAACAATGGCAATGAACAATGGCAAAGTCAGATGAATAGAGATGAACAATGGCAAAGTCAGATGAATAGAGATGAACAATGGCAATGAACAATGGCAAAGTCAGATTAATAGAGATGAACAATGGCAAAGTCAGATTAATAGAGATGAACAATGGCAAAGTCAGATGAATAGTCACAAAAAATGGTTCAGAACGTGATTGAAACAACACAAGATGTGAAATGGTTTAGAACATTATTCAATGAGGATAAAGAAATCCAATGAAGTAAAAAGTAAAAGTAAAAATGGAAGAAAATTATGGCAATGGCTTCAATGAAGGGTTTGAATTATTCCGGGCATACGTATGGTGTTGTAATTGTTTTTATTTTTAAGTGAAATTCTATTATGTTTTGAAAATTTAATTTTTTTAGGTTAAAATGTTTAGAAAATTAAATCATGAGTATTGAAACAAAAATAATATCAAGAAAAATTAACAAGAAAAAAAAAATTAGGGGTTAATCATTCTTAAACAATTTAATAAAGTTGCAGACTCAAATTATGAGTCTGCAAGGTTGGAGGAAAAAAAATTTTGAGTCCTGAAAATACATGCATAGTTGTATTTTGGAGGGTGAAAATTTGAGTTTAGCCCCAACATAGTTGGAGATGGTCTAAGGAGGTATTTTTGATGAAACCAGTACTAGTAATCCCACTTAAAATTAGTACCAAGTAAAACAAAGATGGGATAAAAAGTTCATACAAGCCAGTTTAAGTCTGGAAGGTGTACTAAACAAGACCGTAGTGTACTCTGAAACGTTGGTCACAAATAAGGTTATACCCTTATACATGCACACACGAGGCACACATTTCAGTGGGACCGGACCGGGATAAAATCCCCACGCCACAGTACTCTCCTCGAGGCCTAATTTGCTAAAGCAAGAATCGACAGCACATTGACTTTGTTCTAATGGTCCAATAAACCGTGGTAGGCAAGAGCAGGCAGCCAGCCAGCCTGTACTAGTCATTTGTGCAAGCAAGAATATATACTCAAATACTTTGCCATTGCTTCTGACTATTAAGTACCGAAAGTGTGTGAGAAATTCTCTTTTATATATATATTTATGTATATATAATTTTAAGAAATTTTAATATTGCATTCATAATTTAGCTAAAAACATTACTAGCCACAAATGACCAATACAAACTAGTCACAAAGAACCATTACAATAACGGAGCGGTCTAACATCAAAATTAAGACAATTTGGTGCGTCTTCACTAACGATCACGTATGATTGAAGAAACTCTAGCACAGGCATCCTAACTAAGATTGCAAACTCAAAATAATCAAAAAAAGATAAAACTTGAAAAAACCAAACCATAACAAATACAAATAAAACTCTCACAAAAGAAAGATGAAAAACTCTTACAAAGGAAAGATGAAAAGCTCTCACAAAAGAGAGGTGAAAAGCTCTCACAAAAGACATCTCCTTATAATTTAGACCATCGTTGTACTATACATAAATAAATAAATAAACTACCAAACTTGGAACCATTTTTCCGCCGTTCAATACCAAAACATCTCCCAGGTTTTGAGGGCTTTTATTGTCTTATTGATCCCCATAGGAGGGTAGTTGGCTAGCTAGTCTTGCTAGAAATTTCTCTTGTCTTGAGGCTATTGGCTGCTTATAAATTGCCTCCCTTTCTTCCCGTCTTTTGCTCACAAAAATATCAAACCATATAGCAATCAAATAATCAAACATGGAGAGAGGAGAGTTCAAGGTGACCAGGAGCAAGCAGGAAGTGGTGGCTGCTGCCTTGCCATTGCAAGAGCATTGGCTGCCACTCTCCAACCTTGACTTGCTTCTGCCTCCTGTGGACGTGGGGGTGTTTTTCTGCTACAAAAATGAGCAGAGCATGAGCTTCTGGTCTATGGTTGGGGTTCTGAGAAAGGCCATGGCCCAAGCTTTGGTCACTTTCTATGCCTTCTCTGGTGAGGTGGTGCAAAACTCTGTTGGGGAGCCTGAGATCTTGTGCAACAACCGTGGTGTCGATTTTTTTGAAGCCTTTGCAGATGTTGAGCTTAAGGACCTTAACCTTTATGACCCTGATGAGAGCATAGAGGGCAAATTGGTTCCCAAGAAGAAGCATGGGGTGCTGGCTGTCCAGGTATCTGTCTCTCTAGATAGGTCATGTTATGTCGACATAGATAAAATCTGGACCAGCTAGAACTTGACTTTGGGAACCTTAGTTATATCGAATGCCACGAGAAAAACTTGACTCATTAATTGCAAACACAAAACCTTAGTTTAAATCATATTTACGTTATAACAAAATATCCTAACACTATGGAAACAAAATGAATTGCAGGCAACTGAGCTCAAGTGTGGAGGAATGGTGGTGGCATGCACGTTTGATCATCGCATAGCAGATGCCTACTCGACCAACATGTTTCTGGTCTCATGGGCTGAGATGGCTCAGTCGAAATCACTCTCTCTTCTACCAACTTTTCGTCGTTCTTTGCTCAACCCTCGTCGTCCTGGTCACATTGATCCCGCCCTAAACGACATGTACGTGCCCATCACAGCTCTGCCACCTCCCAAAAACGACACTGATGTTGACCAAGACCATCTCATCAGTCGCATATACTACGTCACAGCAGAGCAACTTGATAATCTGCAAGCCCTTGCAAGCTCCAATGGGTTCAAAAGGACCAAGCTCGAATCGTTTTGTGCATTCTTGTGGAAGATGGTGGCTAAATCTGACACTAAAATTGGTTGTGGCCAAAAATTATGCAAAATGGGCATTGTTGTTGATGGACGAACAAGATTAAGTGAGCGAGGAAATTACCAAAGTCACCAAGCCTCACATATGGCTACATACTTTGGAAATGTGCTATCCATTCCATTTGGGGGGGAAAAAGTGGAAGACCTAGTTGAAAAGTCGTTGAATTGGGTAGCTGAGGAAGTCCATGATTTTTTGAAATGTGCTGTAACAAAGGAGCATTTTTTGGGGTTAATAGATTGGGTTGAGGCTCATAGACCGGTGCCAGCCTTGGCCAAGATATACAGCAGTGGAAGTGAAGAGGGCCCCGCTTTTGTGGTGTCATCGGGGCAAACATTTCCGGTTTCGAAGGTGGATTTCGGGTGGGGACTGCCGGTTTTCGGGTCATACCATTTCCCGTGGGGCGGAAATGCCGGGTATGTGATGCCAATGCCGAGTCCGGCTAGGAAAGGTGACTGGATTGTGTACATGCACATCTTCAAAAGGCAGTTGGAGTTAATAGAGAAGGAGGCTGCTCATGTGTTTAGACCCTTGACTTTTGATTATCTTAGTCAAATTTGAATATTAGTGTTACAACAACCATTACCTATGTCATTATCTTTAATAGTAGCATGATTGCTGCAACTATATATATGTATGTCTTGTTTGTATCAAAAACATGCAAGCATATGGTTCATATCATATGTTAGCCAATTATTATATATACAAGTGTTTCGCCTATGTACTATTTAACTGAGTGTTCATTGGTCATATCAATCTCATCCTACTTTTCGTACAACTCAAATAAAGGCAAAACCTGCTTTTTATAGAAAGGTGGGGATATTACGCCACCTGCATGTTTTTAGTAAATTTGGATATTGTTACCAAGCACCGCCGCCCGTGACTTTTTCTAGTGTCTGGACAGGATACATTAAACATTGTATTCAATTAATCGAATTACTCAAATTTTTAGATATTCTCACAAAAATAATTTCTGCAAAACATCACTCGAATTCGAAACTATTTGACCATTCAATTATATGGTTATTATTATAGTCTTTTCTTAAAGTACCGCGTTAGTCTATTTTGTTTGTCCCAATTAGATGTCTTAATTTTCAATTTGCCTCATTTTTTGCAAGGATGATCTATAAATGAACACTTGAAAAATAGACAGTTTAGACCGTTGAAAAAAAAATTGTACATAACCCTAAAAAGTGTCACTCAAATAAAATTATTTTAGGAATCTCTCGATAAAGGGGGATATATATATCTAGGGGGCAGATCAATGGCACTATGTTTGGCAAGTTTTGACACAAATTTTCAACCATTAGATTTGAATGGACTGAATGGTCTCTCTCTCTCTCCCCTGTTTTTTTTTCTAACATCTTAATGGCTTACAAGATTTAGTTTTTATTCATTATGATTAATAATAACATTAAAAAATATATGGCAAAAGACAGTTTGCTTGAAGTTCATCGTGTGTGGGTGGGTGGGGCCCTAAGCCCTTTCTTCGAGAGTCATAATCCATGTAGAACTGTGACAACCCAAAAAATAAGCAGTTTAAAAATTAGTGGTGATTTCCCCACTCCTTTTTCTCCTATTTTATCCACTTACACTCTTTTTTTTATAACTAAAAAAGGAGTGTAAGTGGATAAAATAGGAGTGGGGAAATCATTGCCCTTAAAAAAAAGCAAAACACAAAGTTAGGGATGGAGAAGAAAAGAATCAGACACTTGTAAAGCTTTAGAAGAAAGAGGAGGAGGATGGGAAAGTCATTACCTGAAGAATTCTAGAGGATAGAGAACGACGAAATAGGAAGATTTGATGAAACATTGATCGAGGATAGAGAAACAAGAAAGAGAAAATTAATTAATAATTATTTTTAATATATGTTTTTCTTAAAAATATATATTTAATTAGTTTAGTTAATCTTAACCATTCAATCCATTTCAATCTAATGGTTTATATTAATTAAGATATTCTCAAATTTAAGCTTGTCAACTATGAGCTGAGGTTTGCATGTTCGGGCAATTTTGGATTTAAGTCTGGTGAGAGAATATTATTCTGTGTATTTATAAATTAGCGTCCAATAATGTCTACAAAATTTTCTTTATTCAAAGAGTTATTCCAGTCAGCAAGTAACACGCGTCAAGGCCTTGTGATTGTCGTCAATTCATTGCATCTTTTTCTACTAAATCCTTAATCCTTTGTCATTGACCTGCATGAGATCGTTTGAAAACCACATCCTAGATTATAGAGTGTAAATTTTTTTGAAAAATAGAAACTTCGTGTTAAATTTACGAAAGTTCATCATATATTTGATGGAAATTATTCTACTCTATCTCGATAAATTTAACTCGTTCAATAGATTTTAAGAAAACAAATTGGCTCATTCTACCGAAGTAACTTTCAAGAAAAAAACCAACTAAACTATTCACATATAAACAAGGAACTTATGAAAATTCTTGATTCCGCTTTTGGAAAGTACTTGCCAAATTCTCCTTCTTTTTCTTCTTACTTCTTGTTTTTACATTCAATCTACCTTTCTTTTACCCCCATTTCATCCACAAAATATAAAAAAAGTTGCACCTTTTCAATTTAGGGCATGCACGCGTCTGAAAGTAAAAAGCATGCACGCGTCCGAAAGTAAAAAGCCAAGTGCCTTGCACTTCCCTAATAAATCAAAATGTTAATAACGTTTTTAACGTTAGAGGTAACATATGCATATGCCGAAAGTGATCTTTAACACTAAGCTCAAAGAAAGAGCAATTACTTGTTTTCACATATTTGCAATCATTAATTCAAGAAAGTTGTTTTCACATATTTGCAATCTTTAAAACTAACGAAATGGGCAATCTTGGTCACATAATGGAAGTTCATGGGGGAGATTAAGTCATTTCAATCGTCAGGGGGCACACTGAGACTATTTGGAAACTACATAGGACATTTCAACAAATAAGCCTTTTCTGATTGGTTCTTAGAAATTTTAACATACAAAGAACCAATTAAAAAATAACAAGTGGCTAGTTTTGAGTTTTTCTCTCCAAATAGGCTCTATACGAGTTTTTCTATAATATGTCATTTTAAAATGGGCTTATTTATAAGAGCCTACTTCAATCCTGCTGATTGTAAATTCTTTTTTATTTTATTTTTTGTTCTTACAAAATCTATGCCTATCCTCAAATTGATAGCTCCATTAGAAAAAAAAAAAAAAAAAAAAAAAAAAAAAAAAAAAAAAAAATGAAAAAAGAATGAAAAAAGAAAAGAAAAAAAAAATTCTATTTGTTGGTCGAAAAAGTTTGATAATTGATAAAAACCAAATTAGCGAAAGGCAATCCTAAAAGCAAATTGGCCATCTTTGGAGAATCTAACTCGAGAAGAAATGTAAAGATGCCTCATGACGCACCACCCTCACTAAGCTTGAAAAAGGGAGAGAACTACAAGCATGAATGAGAGATTTTCAAGTTGAAAAAAAATCGACAAACTCTTGCGGCATATGGGAGAGTCTGGAATTTTAAAGGGATGAAATAGAAGAAACGTGTGAAAGGATATATATATATATATATATATATATATATATATATACCTAAAACAAATTGCATTAAAATTATAAATTGGGTTTATTGTTTAGACTAACGTCCACCATTGGATTTAATCCAATAGTAGTTGACCAAGATAGTCTGGGGTCCCTGTAGACCAGGTGAACGGGACTGAAAGCCGAGCCAATTGGTGGTCAAGATGCACTTCCTTAAATCAAATCAAGTTAATTTGTAATAACGTTTTTAATACTAACGTATGAAGCTAATTAAAGTGATTTTTTTTTTTGTCAATGAGAGTTGGTTGAGTCGATAAGGATTGTTCTCTTCGCTATTAAGGCTTAAGTTCGAGTCTCGTTGTCGACAATCCCTCTTAGTAAAAACCAAAAAATGGGCTAAGGCCCCTTTAATAAGTCCCCAAAGAGACCCCTAAACTTTTTTCCACAAAAAACAAAAACAAAAAGGTGATTTTAGCATAACTTTTCTGAATGCTAATCAAACTTTTTTTTTAACTAGAATCTCAAAGGGATTGCTTTATTTATTTTTATTTTTTATTTTTAAAAGAAAAAAAAAGAAGGGTAATTAGGTACAGTGACAAAATTTGAAAAGTATAGAAAGAGAATATGGAACAAAGTGGATTTTTTTGTTATTATTTGGCCGTCACAACCTATGGATCGAATGAAGACTCTTTGATATATCGTAGGTATCTGAAAAATAGGAGACTTTGTGTTATTGAAGGTTAAACTAATAGCATCATCACCAACCCTTCAATTATGGTGTATAAGCTATGCTCAACAAATAATTATTGGATTTGGAAGAAGTAGTTCACCTCCACCATATAGGTTTTGTTGGTCCAAATTAAAAATTCATCCAATAAACCATTTTAAGTATTAATAATTAATAGTCAATGAGGTCTAACCTAGTGAAAATTGGTCTTGATTTGTAGATTAGTGGTCTCATATTCAAACTGCGTGTGAGAAAACCTGATCCCCTTCTAATTTAGACTAACACGTGTATTAAAAAAAAATAGTAATAACCAATAAGAAAAAACAAATTGCATTAAAATTATAAATTGGGTTTATTGTTTAGACTAACGTCCACCATTGGATTTAATCCAATAGTAGTTGACCAAGATAGTCTGTGGTCCCTGTGTGGACCAGGTGAACGGGACTGAAAGCAGAGCCAATTGGTGGTCAAGTACCATGCACTTCCTTAAATCAAATCAAGTTAATTTGTAATAACGTTTTTAACACTAACATATGAAGCTAATTAAAGTGATTTTTTTTTTGTCAATGAGGGTTGGTTGAGTCGATAAGGATTGTTCTCTTCGCTATTAAGGCCTAAGTTCGAGTCACGTTGCCGACAATCCCTCTTAGTAAAAACCAAAAAATGGGCTAAGGCCCCTTTAATAAGTCCTCAAAGAGACCCCTAAACTTTTTTCCACACAAAAAAAAAGAAAAAAAAAGAGAGGTGATTTTAGCATAACTTTTCGGAATGCTAATCAAACTTTTTTTTTACTAGAAGCTCAAAGGGATTGCTTTATTTATTTTTATTTTTAAAATATATAAAAAAAAAAAAAAAAAAAAAAAAAAAAAAAAAAAATAAGGTACAGTGACAAAATTTGAAAAGTATAGAAAGAGAATATGGAACAAAGTGGATTTTTTTTGTTATTATTTGGCCGTCACAACCTATGGATCGAATGAAGACTCTTTGATATATTCGTAGGTATCTGAAAAATAGGAGACTTTGTGTTATTGAAGGTTAAACTAATAGTATCATCACCAACCCTTTAATTATGGTGTATAAGCTATGCTCAACAAATAATTATTGGATTTGGAAGAAGTAGTTCACCTTCACCATATAGGTTTTTTTTGGTCCAAATTAAAAATTCATCCAATAAACCATTTTAAGTATTAATAATTAATAGCCAATGAGGTCTAACCTAGTGAAATTTGGTCTTGATTTGTAGATTAGTGGTCTCATATTCAAACTGCGTGTGAGAAAACATGATCCCCTTTTAATTTAGACTAACACTTGTATTTATAA